CTTTAGTCCTTTAGGCTGCAAAAACTTTGCTTCCAGCAGATAACTAATTGTTGATATAAAAGCTGCATTCCTTGGTAAAATCTGAATTTGCTCTGTGATAAGATAAAAAAAAATGCATGTTTGATAGATTGCAGAGGCTCTGAAATCACCATCTTAGTCTGAAAGCTTGCCCAATGGTTGCCACTGAAATCTTCATCTTGTTTCTTGACTACCAAACGATTTCTAGCCTCCACATCCCAAATTAAGTTGGCAGCTATTGATTTAATCACCTGGAGCATGGAAATTGATTCACATATAGAGAGCTTGAGTGTGCGCCTATATCCTTGTGCAACTCTTCTATGGTACAGTAGAGCTGCAGCATTAAGGAACTGAAGCAGAACCCCGCCAGAGTCCAAATGCACCTCCAAGTTCCATGTCAGATCAAACCGAACCATTATGTCTGAACACTGGGACAAGCTTAATGACTTGATATGCTCTTGCTTAGTGAAGGAAAGGGCATTTGGAATAGAGTGAACTTGTAGCTTGGATAGCAATGACCTCAAAGATCCATCATGAATTAATGCTTTTGGGTTAATACACATCTTCCCAGGACTTGCACCTTCAAATATACATTGCAGCTCTTTGTTGCTCAACTGTCTTTCCTTCATAATACGAGCAAGTTCTTTAGATATAATACGAGCAAGTTCCATAGATTGGCTATTCATATGATGCCCCTGCATTGCAAGACCATAGACCTCTCTTCCCTCCATCCCCCATGCCAAAGAACTTACTAGACTTGGTGGAGGCCATGGTTTCAACCCAGCCATCTCCTGTGTTAAAATCACGGTTCCAATGACTAAAACTCCAATATCAAAAGGCTCCCATGCCAGGAAGCTTACTCCAGCCGGTGGTGGCCATGGGGGCATCAATGGTAAACCTTCCAAATATAATTTGGATCCTGGCCAATGCAAAGGTTGCAACTCCCATCGTCTAATCACTCCACCCAACCAAGAAGGTGGCCATGAATTTCTCTTAGCATTCCCCATTAGCAGCTTCTTGTCTTTGGGACATTTCATCGAACACCCAGTGGGCAGCAATGGAATAAGATCCATTTCAGCCATCAACCATGGCGAGAAGACTTTGGATGATGCATCAGGTACTAGAACGCCCTCGGGCACACCCATCATGGTCCGACACGTGACCCTGGTATGGTCTGCGCCACCCTTGACATCAAGGCCAACCGTCGAACAGCTGGCGGGCATCACCTTGGTACTATCAAGGGTGTCGATGTGGGTGTCGTCGGTGGTGCTGCCAGTAGCTACCATCTCCATTGATGACTCCACAGAAGTGGCACAAGTAACCACAACAGCCACAGTGAGATCAGGCTTGGTGTCGGAGCTAGAACATATCATCGAACACATAGTGGGCGTGAACTCAGGAAGGTCCTTGATGACAATGAAGGGCATGTGATCCTTGCCCTCACCATCCTCATGCTCCAGGATGACAGTCGGAGCAGTCCCCTCGTTGATGTAGATGGATCTCGATATTGTGCTCGAGCTACTATCATTGGGGCATTCCATCAAACAGTTGGTGTGCACTGGAAGGGGTGGTGCCATTGGTGTTGGAGATGATGCACCCTTGAGGATGACGGTGATTGCCCTGATGGCAGCAATCATTTCCTCGGAAACCTTGCTCCTACGAACCTTTATCTTCTCCAACTTTTGAAATATCTAATTGATCTTCTCCTCTTGCATGCGCATGGCCTCCATTTGTTCAAACTTCTCCAATATCCGATCTAGAGCTTTGTCTAGCCATTTCTCCTTTTTGTTCACGGTAGAATTGATGGGGACAGGCTTAGATATCCTCTGATTTTCCTTGGGCATCTCAGATTGGCTAGGCATTCCATCGAACAGGTTGTGGGTGTCGGTGTCATGAGCAGCACCCTTGCCCAAATCTAACAACCACTTGCATGGGGCGTTGCTGCAGTACTCTCCCATCAACTCCATGCTAGAAATCCCATGAATCGACAGCTCTGATACCAAATTGTTAGCACCCTTTGCTCCAATTCAAATAGCAACCATATATGCTTCAACACTCAAATATTTGGAGGAACAAAAGAAGAAATGGGGGATACAAGTTTCTAGTAACACAGAAAGGAGGAGGAGGAGGAAGAAGAGAAGTAGATCGACAAGGGATGCCCACCGGCCGCCCAGGTCGCCGTCGTCGCCGTGAGCCTCAGCTCGCCAAATTGATCAATCGATGCCCCCATGTTTTCTGTTGCTGCTCATATATGCTGGTAGTGCTGCTTGCTTAGGCCTAGGCTGGAACATGACTAACCGAGCCCATGGTGCAGCCCAGTAGAGGCCCGACACTTGGGCACGTAGTACATCGGCAATGAGCAGCACCTTGCGCAACTTGATGTTGTAATGCATGATCCAGTGCTGGAACTCCTCGTGCAGGTACCTCACTGGCCTTGCACACCATGCCACCGCCGCTGCCATGCTCGAACATGACGCAGTCAAGCGAGCCGTTCTCGAGGTACTTGTAAACAAGTGCCTTGGTGGTGGTGCCTTGATGTGGTAATATAGCTGCTCCTCGGTGCGGCGGTCCAGTGTGCGGTGCAGGGTCTTGACAGCCACCTGTACACCGTTGGAAAACTTGCCGTAGTACACCATGCCGAAGCCGCTGCCACCAAGCTACTACGCTCCGCGTAGCCCCCGGTGAACTTGCGCAGATTCTCCGGCGTGAACCAGGCGGGCTTCTCCCGGAGTATGTCATCCAGGAAGGGTTCCACCCAGGGTTTAAACTTTCAATTTCAGGGGAAATTTCGGTGATTTCGGTGAAATTTTCAGGATTTTTGGCACTTTTCAGACCAAAATGTTATGAAATTTTGACATATTTTGACTAAATTTGAATAAATTTGACCAAGTTAAACAAAAATTTGATAAAACCCAAAAATTTCGGTCGATATATTGATTTGCCGGTGGGGTCTGAAATTTCCAAAATTTCGAACCAAAATTGCAATCACTGGGTCCACCGACCCCATCTCAACGCGGACATTGTGATGATAATGAGGCGCTGTGACCGCGGCCATGCTGTTGTGCGCCGCTCGTTCGTAGCGACACTGCCCTTCTCCCCTCTGATTCCGCACGCTGGAGACTTGAACAGAGATGAGGAAGAGAGGGGACATGAGGAGAGAGAGAGGAGGAAGATGTTTCACTGACATGTGAGGCCCACAAGGTTTTTCATCATTTATTTTTGCTTCCCGTGCTACGTCAGTCAAAATAGCCTACAATACTGCCTTGGAACTATATTTGTACCAGTTTTAAAAGAAAAGGGACACGTTATATCTGGCATTGCGGTTGAAGAATGTAATTCAAACTCAACGTGAATTATCAGGGACCTAAGTGAACTTATTCCAATTGTAAACCAGTTTCATTTTTATTTTTTCTAGATGGGCCTTCACGGCTACTTACTCGCCGGTTACTTGCAGCGGCCCATCATGGCATCATGGCCCAGAGCAGCCAAGCCCAGAAGCAGCCCAGAGCCGCAGATGCAGCAAGTCCCTACTCCCTAGTCGCCGGCTGCTCGCGGCCATTGACGGCGATTGGCGAAGTAGTCGTCGTCGCCGGTGGCGGTGGCGGCCGGCCGGGTCTCTGGCGGACGGCGCAGCGACGTCATCCGGCCGGGTTTGACCACGACGCCGCGTCTCGATCGAGAAAACAACGGAGGTGGGGATGAGGGAATCCGACCGGGATCCCCGAGCATATTCCGCTCCCGGTCCACGCCCCGCCTGCAATCATCTCCATTTCGTTACTAGTTTACTAATACTATACGTGTGTATTTATACGCTTGATTCTTTTATTTATTTTTCTTTGCCTCACCTGCCATGATCTGCATGATGTCATACTGGTATAATATTCTGAATATACCATACGTGTTCCAGTGTCAGAAATTAAGCTTAATTTGATTTAGCTGTTCCCTTTGCTGGTAACTAATTAGCCGCTGTGTGAATGATTAGTAGGATTCGGATACAGCGAGCATGTATAATGTATATGTTGTCTGAACTTTGCTGTCACAGTGCGTTGGTGTCTTCCTGAAGAGATCATATATACATATATGTATATGTATGTTGATTCTGCTGTGTGTGAATGATGTGGCCTACTGGCGTGTTCTGTTCCCTGACAGGTTAAATCTCATATCCATATATATACATATACTCTCTCCGTTTCAAAATGTTTGACACCGTTGACTTTTTAAATACGTGTTTGACCATTCGTCTTATTCAAAAAATTTAAGTAATTATTTATTCTTTTTATATCATTTGATTCATTGTTAAATATACTTTCATGTACACATATAGTTTTACATATTTCACAACTTTTTTTTAATAAGACGAACAGTCAAACATATGCTAAAAAGTCAACGGTGTCGAATATTTTGAAAGGAGGGAGTATGTAATAATGTAAATGTGCATAAATACAAGAAGCATGTCTTTGTACAGTCGCTGTTGCGTCGAGTTCAGGAAACCGAGCTCAGCCCCATCCATCCATCTATTCGGTTATCTCTCTCAAAATTTAAACACACCCACCTACATATATATACATTAGTAGTACTACATTATATTAACTTTGTTACTCCCTCCGTCCCTAGATATTTGACCGCTGTCGGCTTTTTTAAACATGTTTGACTGTTCGTCTTATTTAAAAAACTTAAGTAATTATTAATTCGTTTCCTATCATTTGATTCATTGTTAAATATAGTTTTACATATTTCACAAAAGTTTTTGAATAATATGAACGGTCAAACATATTTAAAAAAGCCAACGGTGTCAAATATTTAGGGACGGAGAGAGTATATCCGAAAACAGGATATTTTTTCGCATATACGAGAACGTGGAATTAATTACAAGCACATGAAATAATCGTACCAAATGAATACAATTATTATAGTACCCGCGAAAAAAAAAAAGTCAAATTTGAAACGCGCACACAAACACATCCTCTACACCTTCGCCACAGCATGCAGTGTCATATCATAATTCATACATAACCCAACACCTCCTCTCCTCCCCTCCCTTCGTCTTCATTTGCTGCGTCGCCGTACGTCGTCTCGCTCGCTCCTCCACATGGCCGAGGAGTCTCGGGAAGAAGGCGGCGGCGGCGGCGTCGTGGAGGACGGCGACGAAGCCGGTGGACGGCCGGGGAAGGACGGCGGCAGCGGCGGCGCCGGCAGGGGGAGAGATGGGAACAATGGCATCAGCACGTGGGAGATCGAGGAGATGGAGGATGAGGCAGGGCCGGCGTCGCTGGCTCCTCCTGCCGCCGCCGCCGCCGCCGACGTGTACGTGGCGGTGGGGAAGGGCGGGTCAAGCATGGAGGCGCTGTCGTGGGCGCTGCGGCGGCTGGCCTCGCCGCGGAGCTTCGTCTACCTCGTGCACGTCTTCCCCGTCGTCATCAGCATCCCCACCGGATGTAAGCACACACCCCTCTCTGTCCATACTCTTAATTTGACCAACAGCTAATTGAAACATGTTTCCATTTATACATTTGCCTCAAGAAAATCTGGCACATGTGTTTCTGAGATGGAACTAGTGATTACTACTTAATTTATTGGATCATTAATTAGAAATACAAACTTCCTATACATGTATGGTATATTTGTCTAAGGCCTAGCTCATACACTTGTTGACTGTGATTATGAAGCTGCTTTGATCGTCTTCTTGAGCTAGCTGGATTAGAACAAGGGTGTTTTAGTATTGCATATGGAAAATTAGAGACTATTGATCAAAGAGTAAATTAAAACGGTTAATTCGAAGGACTGTTCTTGTGTTTCAGTTGGTAAGATCACAATTGGGTCCCAGCAATCTTTGGTTGGAGATTGGCCTGCAGCATTGTTGAAATCAAGGTCAAGTTCTTGGACTAGCTTAGGGGGTGATTTGTCTTTGACTGAATTTTTCAAAGCTGGCATTGTCACAAGCTGTAGTTCCATTCTAGCTTTGTTGGCATCCTGCCGTCCTACGTTAGGCATATTTTGCCCCATCGCAAACCTTGCAGCAAAAAAGCTCTAGAGCTGATGTTGACTGCATGGAGAATTGGAGATAGAAACAATACCACCCATGTGGTGTTTGGTTTAGGTGTCCATGCTAATTCTAGAGTGATCAACTTTCCAAAAATTCTAGAATGATCACCAACCAAGGCATGTATGAATAGGAAGAGATATATATATCATGTCCACAAAAGTTTCACGTTAACAGATGTTACAAAAAATTCTAGGAAAAAAATTGAACATGTACTTCCAATAGTATTGCACGTATATATAAAGTATCAACTTCAAATTCATTACTCCCTCCGTTTTATAATATTATAAGTCGCTTAGAATTTTTCTTTCTAATACGAAATATATTTAAAATATAACAACATTCTAATAAAAATAAGCATATTATCAAAATATATTCAATGTTATATTTAATGAAAATGATTTGGAGTTATATATATTGCTAAATTTTTCTATAAACTTAGTCAAACATAAAAAGGTTTGACTAAAAAATCAAAGCGACTTATAATATGAAATAGAGAGAGTATATTTTAGCCATAATAGAAAAGGAAAAATATTATATATTTAAGAGTATAAATGTGTCAGAAATTTGTCCTTTTTTCTCTCTCTCTAAGTATAATGAATTTGAAGTTAGGTGTGATACTATTGGAAGTGCATGTACATTTTTTTTTAGAATTTTCGGTGATATTTATTAGTTAGTGTGCACGGGACACTTGTGTGTACCATGTTCGGATAGACAGAATAACCCTTTTTCAGAACAAGGGTAGTGGAAGCGAGCCTACAATTCTAGTTGATTCAGAGGAGTTACACCTAGTTCCTTCTCTATATGGGTAATTTTACCATCCATAAGAAAATACCGGGAGGTAATATATTTTCTAGTATAAAACCCGTTACCTTCAGCTATTAGATATTTTAGTATGAAATTTAGTACCTATGGCTACTTTCTCATCAAGGACCGTAAAATTTCTCTAGATAATGTAAGGGCTTGTTCTTTATGGGTGATGTATAGAATTAAGTGTATGGAAATTATTCGAGAATATAAATGAATGAATTAAATATTAAAATATTGAATTGTTGGTTTTCAAAAAGTTTTCTAAGAAATGCCCATAATTAAAGTTTTTACAAATAAAGTATGGTTTTGAAGCTTACGAAGTGTGCCGTATCATCTACAATCTGTAAGCTGGAAAGAACACGACCCTTATGCGAGAAAGAACTATATTTGTTTTTGTCGATGCATCTACAGTTAAGGGATAATGGCCCATCAGTGGTATATTTCTAAAACCCACGTTTAATTTTTCGATTTGACAAAACCAATTATAATTTGCTCGGTCAGGTACAAAAGTACATCCCATCACGAATTTTGCTTCATGTGATTCCGCATTAATTTTATTCTCTGTTCTCAACTCCATATACGTGGAGTATATTGGATGGCAAACAGTAGAGTAGACTAGTAGTTCGAGTGTTATAGGTCTCTGAGATGCCGGCGTGAGCAGGGCGAGTACTTTGTTACACTTCCACTGAAATGTGAACAGACCAGTACAGTGAGATTCCGTTCTCGTAGCTTTTTTTTTTTTCTTTGACACTCGCACAGCAATTCATCGTTGATTGCTGAATGATGCAGACAGGCCATTCTTTGGCATGGCCAGATAGGGGAGCTGAGAAGGACGACTGCCTAGAGCTTAGGAAAACCCAGGGCTTTCTGGTATATGCAGAGATATATACTGTTGTATAACTCTCATTTTAGGCTAGCTGAGCAATATAGATAACTCACCATACAGTAAAAAATGTTAAGAGCAAATCATCAGTACATAACTCTGAAGAAACCGTTCGGTTTTTCTGGAGGGATAGGGCGCGCAGGATCTATATTTAAAGTCTTTTCATTTGGACATCATAGTCATGGTTGAGTCTAGGATTTATGTTTCCTTCTAGCTTGAGTCGTTGTTAAATATTAGGCTGCGTTTAAATCCAGGGGTGAAAAGTTTTGGCGTGTCACATCAGATATACAGACACACATTTGAAGTATTAAACGTAGACTAATAACAAAACAAATTACAGATAAACTGCGAGATGAATTTATTAAGCCTAATTATTCCATCATTAGCAAATATATTTACTATAGCACCACATTGTCAAATCATGGACATCTCGCAATTTACATGCAATTTATGTAATTAGTTATTTTTTCGCTTATATTTAATACTTCATGCATGTCTCAATACATTCAATGTGATAGGGTGAAAAATTCTGGCAGGGGATCCAAACAGGCCCTTATACTACTCCCACACATGATGTCTACAACCAAAAATTGGAATAGTAGCTTTCTTGTCAAGATAATTTGTATTTTTAAAATTTTCAATTGGTTCTGACGAAACAAATCATATATTCTGAAGCTCTGCTCTCACCGTCTGAATAGACAAAATTTCTGATTGTATTTTTTTTTTCTGAATAATGACTGTGCGCCTGAACTTTTTTAAGTCTAAACAGATTAAGTTGATGCATATCTTCTGATGAACTTGACGTATGTCTCCTTGGATATCTGAAATAGTAGGAATGATGCCCAAGAGCCAAGCAAGCCCAGAGCAGGTAGAAACTTACATGAACCAAGAGAGATCAAAGAGGCGTGTGATGCTACAAAAATATTTAGACCATTGCCGCAACTTTCAGGTGAACTGGTTACATCAGATCTTCACATTTCTGTGCTCATACAACAGCTTGAGATGTATCTGCAAGGCACATATAGAAATCCAATTATAATTCCTGTCATATCTTCAGGTTAATGTTGATGTGTACCTCATCGAGAGCGATCATGTTACCAATGCGATCCTCGAACTTATTCCGGTCTTTCATGTACAACAGCTAGTTCTGGGGGTTTCAAAATCCAAATTGCGGTAAGGTTTATATACCTTGCAAGTTCCAATTAACAGAACTACCAAAATAATTTGCTGGCATTTCAGAAATACATTCTGAATTTGTCTGAATGAGCACAGGAAGTTCAAGAGAGGAAACACAATAGCAGGACAGGTTCAGAAGAACGCACCTCTATACTGTGAAGTCAAGATTGTCTGTGATGGCAAGGAGGTTACAACTGTGCCAACTGCTGATCCAACACCACCAATTTCACCTTCTCCTGTAAATAACAAGAGTAATTCTATCAGCCCAACGCCACTATCACCTGCACCAGATCATAACAATCGCGCTGTGGCTGATGATGACAAAAAGGAGACTAATCCCAATGAAAGGAATAAAATCACAAAATATTTGAAATGCTTCTCATTTTGATCTTATACTTTTATGGTTGCTGCTTCAGTCACTTTTGCAGATATAGAACACTGCACGCATAGCATCTTCAGACAACAAAAGCTTGTAAAAAAACACTTTCACCAATGTTGTGATCTTGAATTTCTTGATTCATTTGTACAGGAGATGATGGTTGTTATATGGGATATTTCCAGCATTTTTTCTGCATTGTTGTATGGTGAAGAGTTGTGCTTGATTATAATATAATGTCTAGAACCACATGAAAAATGCAGCCAAAGGACAGAAAATCTGGCACTCTATTATATCCTCAATTTTTCATGTATAGCCAGAAGACCGAACAATAAAACATGCTAGGCAGACCTCCAGTTGGCAACCTGGCAATCCTGACATGGAGCACTTATCATTGATCATAGATTACAGCATATGCATGTGACAATTTATTACTCCAAAAAGAATTTGTCCTAGATGCGTAAATCAAAACCTCATAGCAGACAGGGATAGGGCATAGGAACACATGGCTATGTCAAGTTGTCAGCCAATCATGCATTAACAAAATAATTGATTAGTATCTATGGTATAGCATTTAGTTATACTGAGATACAAAAACTGCTGTTGCAGTCAATGAGTCAATATTGATCAACATTCTTTTTTCTGGATCAAGCATTATTCAGTGAAACTTCTCACTGAATGTGTTTCAGCTCATGCACATAACTATTCAGCAATTGCAGTGACAATCTGGTAAGGACAATACTGTTAAACTTGAAATGCTCCATCAGACAGAAGTAACACTGTAACAGAACAACTGCTGAGTACTAATTACTATGAGAAATATAGGGTACACAAAACTGAGCTAGCACTGCACAAGCCAAAAAGTGGCGGCCTTTCTTTGACTCACTTGAAGATTAACCATTTCAGATCTTTGCTGAGAAATATAAATCTGAATGCCAATAAGTTTACTTCAAGAAAAACAGGACATGTTGACAGAAACAAAAAAAATCTACATACTAATCTGCAAGACACTACATGTGAAAACCCTACTCAAGATGATGCAAACAAATGGAAAAAAAAATTATTGAGTCCTAAAAGAAATCGAATTCTAGATAGCTATCACTGCTTTTCTGGGCAGCATCAGAAGGGGCAGCAGCAGGCTCCGATGTTGAAACAGGTTGCTTTGGAGGCCTCTCAATCTCAACAGGCCTGGGAACCTCTGGAGGGCTTGCGCAGCGTATCAATGCCCAGTTCACACCCTCAAAAAATGGATGCTGTTTTATCTCAGTGGCACCACGCTTACAACCCAATCTTTGTTGGGGCTCCTTGACGAGCAGGCCCCTAATTAGATCTCTTGCCGAGAAGCTCACAACCGGGTATTCAGGGAAGCGCAGCGGCTGGCCAATGACGTTGAACAGTGTTGCACGGTTTCCTGACCCTTTGAAAGGTGTTTTTCCAAACAGAAGCTCATACAAGAATATGCCAAAGGTCCACCAGTCAACGGCACTACCATGACCCTCGCCTTTGATAATCTCAGGGGCCAAGTACTCATGTGTACCAACAAATGACATTGAGCGTGCATCACTAGGTTCCGCTATGAGCTCAGGCCATGGGCTGACCTGATTGACAACTTCAGGCTTTGGTTTTCGATCCTTCTTTGACTTGGAGAAAAATCGGGGACCAAAGCATGTTGTGGGAGTGGCACACGATGGCTGAATCATGCAGGATGGCTCCACACAAGCAGGTTGAACACAATAGGCCTGGTTGTTCTTCCGAAGTGCTTCTGCATCAGGGTTAGATGATCTGATCAGTGTTGGGCTCACTGCACAGCGCAGGGAGAGGTCAAAGTCAGATAGCATGATGTGTCCATCCTCACGGACAAGGACATTTTCCGGCTTCAGATCACGATATATGATACCAAGCATGTGCAAGTACTCCATAGCAAGGAGTATTTCTGCCACATAGAATCTGCGACCAAGAAGAAAGTGCAATATCAGTTTACTATGCTATCTTGCAAATAAGTGAATTCAAGAAGTACATGGAACAAAACAAATATTCCAAAGATATGCATACCACTTTTCATGCTGTTGCTTAGTTCATGCTATTTGAGGAGTTTTAGCTCTTGAATGTGGATGTAAGCTGCAGTTTTTATTAATTCTTAAAAAAACTACATTGATAAAATGAAATATCATTGTGTAGAAATTAATTTTGCATGTATTGACTTCACATTGACAACTTGCACAAAATTATCATCACAATCAGCTTACATACTTAATATAATCCATCCAATTACGCAGTTACACTAACTTAAAGCAAACCATAACCTTTTCTGAATTGTGTATCCACGTTTTCGAAATTTATCGGAACAGAAAAACAACAAATGAAAAAGATAGTGAACCCTACAAGAGTACCAAGGTATTAATGTGTATCATGTGCATTGAGTAAATCATACGTACTTGACAGCTTGTTCTGGAAAATACTTGCCACGCTGCCTTTGTCGAAGAGTATGCAGGTCTCCACCAGGGCAAAACTCCATAACCAGGCATGAGAACTTATCAGTCTCAAAATGGGTATATAACGTTGGAAGAAAAGGATGATCCAGGCACTGCAAGATTTCCTTCTCAGTCTGGGCTCGAAGCAATTTCTTGCGGCTTGCAAGTGATGCCTTGTCCATAACCTTCATCGCAAAATAGCTCTTCGTTCCACTCAGTTCTGAAAGGTACACACTGCCGATATCACCACAACCTAGCTTCTTCAATAGCTTAAAATGACTCAGGCCAAGGATTCCATCCCTAGTCCTGATCATCTGGATTGCCTCCCATCGTGAATCATTCGCCTTGTGAGGCTTGGTGACGCTACTAATGCTGCTGCAAGCGCTTTCATCACTGACATCACTGCTTGTGCTTGGCCTGCATCTGCTGCTACTGAAACCTCTTTCTCCAGTCTCAGATCTCCCAACCAACCTGGCACTTCCACTTGCACTTGCTATACCATGCTCCTTTCCTAAAGCTGAAGATGATTTCAAGCTTCCGTTCGCAATTCCATCCTCCACAACACCCTTTTCCTCATCTGCAAGACGCTTTGGAACCAGGTTACCCTCAGCCTTTACTTCTGCAGGATCATTGCTACCCGTAAGATCAATGGACTCATTTTGATGCTGAGTTGATTTCTGCTCCTTTTGCACCACTTCGGGATTCGGTTTGCTTGATTCAGCTGACCTTCCTGGCACCAATGCACTTCGTTTACTCGGACTGGTTGTCTCCAAAGAAGAATCATTCTGAGAACACAGTTTCAGTGACTGTAAGTTGGGAGCTGCAGGGGGCGCTCGAGGCATTGCCTTTGAAGCCATTGCTCCCACAACTGATACGTATATATATCAGACCAGATTGCAGAAAGAACTACTGACCAATCAAAGATTTATAAGCTTGGTGTTGACACTTGCCTTCAGAATCTGCAAAGGGCAGCAAAAGAATTTCAATTGATTAGAACATGCCTAGATACAAAAGAACTGCACAAAAAAATACAGAAATCCACCAATTCGATGAACAAGAGATCATCCCCCAACAATCCCAAACAAAAAAAAAAACAAAATAATCAAGAACCAACCTGCACACGCAGATCCATCAACCTCCCACAGGTCCACTACAACGAGACTCACTCCTCACAAGTCACAACCGAAGCCACCCACTGATTTTATCCATCTAACTCGCTCAAAAGAAAGGCATCATCACAAAAGCTAATGTCGAAAACACTGAACCTGTCCAACCGCCCACTAACCGCAATCATACAACTCTACTGTCTCTACAGATCTATCGACCATCACTCCCCCCACTTTGGAATAAACAAGTGCTAGGGATCAGCAAAGATGGCTTGTCCCATCAAAGGCGCCATCTTTTTCCTACCAAAAGAAGAGAGAAAGGTGTTTCCCTACTTCCTAGCACCCCGACCTAAACGAGAGAGGCCCTTTTAATCTTTTCTTGCAGCCACATTGCAAGCAGGAAATGGAGGATGAACGCAAGCAAGCACAGCCCCGCAGATTAACGGCATTTCTCCCTTTTTGAGGAACAAACAAACTGTTTCTTGTATTAAGGTTAAGGCTCTGAAATTAAGAGAAAAAGTTTCTTCCTTCCAGATCTTGGAGAGAAGCTATGGTTAGCGCAAGCAAATTCCACACGAAAGAAGGTGGGAGAGAGAGATGAATCAGAAAGAGGATGTGGTTGCTCACCAGGATCCCCTCCCCCTTCTCTGCTCGCCAGATGGAGATCGGCGCCCCTCCCCTGTTCATGCGCGAGATGGCGCAATGAGCGGAGACGAGACGGGAGGGAATGGGGAGACACTCGGCTACTCTCTACCTTTATCTCAAATTTACTATGTTACCCTTTCTTTTATGATAGACTGGTGGCCCACGTGTCAGCAGAACTCATAGAAAAAAAAGAGTGGGCGTATTATCTAGGTCCCTAAACTCTCAAAATGCATTTTCAAGTCCTCGAACTTGTCTTGAGGTGTCATCTAGGTCCAGAGGAGCTCTAACCCCCTCCATGCGCTGATGTGGCATGCCACGATAGCACCTACGTGCCACGTGTCAGTCATATAGAAAAAATAAAATTAAAAAAAATCATATTTTCTCCTCTCTACCTTAGATTTTTTTTTGTCTTTTTTATGTTTACCTAATAGGAGAAAATATGGTTTTTAATTTTATTTTTTATATATGCTTGACATGTGGATTTCAATGACACGTAGGTGCCACCGTGGCAATGCCACGTCAGCGCATGGAGCCGGTTTGAACCGGTTAGGACCTATATGACACACATGACAAGTTTAGGGACCTAAAAATGCATTTTAGGAGTTCAGGGACCTAGATGACACACCTACACAAGTTTAAGGACCGCCAATGTACTACACTCAAAAAAAAATACAATAAACTCAGTTGGGATTGTATTGATGGTAAACTTCTCGGAGCACCGACAACCACTAGCTGTCGTTCCACGCACTGTCACCACCGCTCTTTCTTCATGAGCCAACATCGTTCCTTCTCTCCACCTTCGCATATATAGCCGCACCCACTAGTGACCGATATGTTTTTTCTCCTCTCCTGCCAGCATGTATGCTATTGTTATGGTCGTAGTTGAGGTCGGGGTGTCGGGTTTGCAGGGACTCGGGGAGGTAGGAGCCGACCTGACATAGAGCGAAGATGTTAGATCCGGGCTCCTCCTTGCTAGATATGGTGGTTTCCCAAATATTGGAGGAAAAAAACGTAAAAGGAGAGAAAGAGTTAGTGTGCAGAGTGGTTGTAGAGTCATTGGATTTGGAGGTGGAGCTGCGGTGGAGTCATCGGATTTGGAGATGGATAAAATGGGGTGGTCCAAATTGTAACGAAAATGTAAAGTTAGCTGTAGTGTAAATGAAAAGAATGGTTAAAGGATGATATAAGTACAAACGGTAATTTATTTTTTTTCTCTAGAGCAATTAATAAAGTGGGTTGTCCATTAGCCGATAATCTCATGCTATGCTAAGCCAACTACAGTTTTATCGTCTCTGCACAGTGTGGGTGGGCCGGTCTACTCAATTATTACTAATAATGTTATGATATGTTATTGAATGACGATACAGACTTTTGCTAATATAGGTTGATTAATTATGGTTAGATAGATCCAACTAAAAAGATAAAAATAATACCATCATTTTGCTCAATAAAAACATTCAATTATGGTCTTCTTTTCTCAATGCATGATATATGATAAGTATCAGTATTTATATGGTATTTTTCTAATTCTTTCATATTAGTTTTTACATATATGTTAATTTAGACTAATATTTTTTCCCATAATTAAATGGATAAATAAATCTTTTTTCTATATTTATCTAAAATATTTTAAGTGTATGTAATTTAATATGTAAGATATGGACTTATAGTATAAGATTTATCTTTTTTAAAAAAATGTGGCACCATAGTAGATGGGTAGTTTAGTGAACAACCATAAGAAATACGCCCTCCATCCCATAATATAACACATTCACCTAAAATCTTTTATTTTATATTATAGTACGGAGGGAGTAGAGAATTTGTTGTATGCCACTGATTTTGGCCATATTCTATATTATATTAATGTATCAATGAGTTTGTCAAGTTCTACAATATGCCATCGTATTTTGTTTAACTTCTATAATATACCATCGTCATTCAGTTAGGCTCCATTAGTGCTATTGTACAATTTTATCCTAATGACCGAAATACCCCGTGATGAACTTTCCAAATTTGGTTAAAAATTTTCTGAAATATCAAATTATAAATCTTCCAAAGTTTGAGAGCAGCAAGTCATTGCAATGGCTGCTGCTGCTGATATTATACAACCACCAGTCACATCAAAACGCAAACTTTCTCGCAGAAAGCCGAGAGGAAAGCAAGAATACCACCAAGAACGGCCAAAAGCAAGATGCCTCCTTTCATCCTTTTCTGCAGGAATGCAGACGCAGCCATGGAACCTCGCGTTCATCGGACAAAACATAAAAAGAAAGAAAGGGAAAAAGGCAAATTTGCAGAGAGGCTAAGGGGGTGTATAGATCAGGCGCGTAAAGTTTTGGCGTGTCATATCGGGTGTTATATAGGGTGTCGTATAGAGTGTTCGGACGCTAATAGAAAAACTAATTATAGAATCCATCAGTAAACCGCGAGACGAATTTATTAAGCATAAATAATCCATCATTAGTAAATGTTTATTGTAGCACTACATTGTCAAATCATGAAACAATTAAGCTTAAAAGATTAGTCTCGTAAATTAGTCACAATTTGTGCAATTAGTTATTTTTTAAGTCTATATTTAATACTTCATGCAGTTGTTCAACCGTTTGATATGATAAGGTGAAAAATTATAAGGTGGAATCTAAACAGAGCCAAAATCACATCCCAAGAAAAACAGCAGAGAAATAAACAACACGAAACAAGAAGAGACTGAGGCCCTGATTAGTTCCCACGCAAAAACTTTTCACCCTGTCACACTGAATGTTTGGACACATACATAGAGTATTAAATATAGGAAAAAAACTAATTACAACCGATTGCGTGTAAATTGCGAGACGAATCTTTTAAGCCTAATTGCTCCATAATTTGACAATATGGTGCTACAGTATACAATTGCTAATGACGGATCAATTAGGGCTTAATAAATTCGTCTCGCAGTTTACAGGTAGAATCTTTAATTTGTTTTGTTAGTAGTCTACGTTTAACGCTTCAAATGTATGTTCGTATATCCGACAAGCCAAAACTTTTCACCCCTAAAATTAAACACGCCTGAATCTACAAGAGAAGGGATCGAAATGGAAATACTACTCCTACGCTGCTACCACTACGACTACGAGAGATCAGTGGATGAGAAAGAACTGATCTTTTCACTGGCATTTGATGTGGATTCGTTCTAAGATCGCAATGATTCTGCCTAGTATATTTGGTGGTTGATGTGGAGGGCCTTGATGTGATCTCCTCGCGGATTTGTCCCCCCGAATGACATGGCCGCCCTGCTCCAGTACAAGAAACTATCCACTTTAACCTTGGGAGCAAAAATAAGGGCATGTTTGGTTCGAAAATCTACCAAAATATTGGTAGTATCAAACCTTGAGCAAATTTTGACACTACCAAATTTTTAATAGTATAGATTTAGCTCCACTCTATTGATTTGGCAAAAATTGGCTCCAATCCAAAATGCTAACATGCATTATTCAAAACTACCAAAGAATTAGTAGGGGAAGAATTGGCACCAAAGAAAAATGGCCCTAAATGGGCTAGAACCTGGACCCGAGCTGAACTGCTGAAGCAAGACACCTCTCAGAGCTTTTTTACCGTAGTGTTCACAACCCCGGCCGTATAATTTTTTTCTCTTAATATTTATATATATATTTTTCTCATACTATATTCAATGAAATTAGCACATTGTGTTGTCGGTTCGTTAAAAGAAATACCTATAATCAGGTAAAATTCATGACAATAAGTACTTGTTACATATATGTATATAGTAGTTGCATATATTATTTGTTTTTACTGAACCTTCTCTTCTTTTTATCTCCTTTCTTTAACATAAACTAGTTGAATGCTCTTGTGTTGCAATGGCATTTAAAAAGGAGAACCCCGCCGTACACTCTAAAGCCTAAAAACTAAAATTATTCTTATTGTAAAATCTTCAGATCATATTATTTGTCATCATTTTTCCTCACTTCAAAAGAAAATTTTCTTGTTTATTGGGTTGAGGTTGAGAAAGTGATAAAAGTCCACCTATCTCACTATTTGGGGAGACTTACATAGTATTGGTAGTGAGTGGTGGCAGATTTACCATTCACCAATATCATTGGTATTTTTAAAGGAGTATAAATACTATTCTAGTTCTTTCTGATAATAGTAAGCACTTCATGCTTTTTTATTTCTTTTTAAAATGATTTCCTTTCACTCGTAAGGTTGGATTAGATCTTACCGAGAAAAAGGGGAAGCATTAGAAAATTTTGAGTAAATATTGTAAAATTGTAGATTATTTCTATTAAATTATCACAAAACTACAAACTTGACGATATAACACATAATTACAGATTTAGCTATAAACTTATCACATAATTACATATTTAAGATTGAGTATTAGAAATTGAAAGACTACATACTTAAGGCACCATATTACAAAACTAAAACTACATAGTAGTTCACATTGAATTGATATGAAACTACAGATTTAAGATAGAGTAATTTCATTATCTTAAAAAAATCAAGTAATTGATACTAGTATTTTATGATGTAAACATCTCATAATAGAATATCATTCCCTATTTTGTTGGAATAAAGGCCCCAAAAATGGTGGGAAAGCCATGTGTGTAAATTATGCTGACCCCACTTAAAAATTTCCACGATTATTTGAGACAAATCAAGTAGACGCCTAATTCAATGGAGTATATGAAACGTCATTTTTCTAGTTGGAACGGTACGGCTCAACCAATTAGTTGGAACGATACAATAATGTATATGACGGTTGTGCAACGTACACGACTCTCCAGTATCAATAGTTGTACAGTCACTGTAACTGTTTTCAGATGCAAATATTTGTGAGTATTTGCAGACGATTCAGGGTTAGTTGCAGTGCTTGTACATTCTATTTGAAGCTTTGGGTAAAAAGTTAAAACTTCCGGTATCAATAAGGCCTCTCACAGTGCAAGACACGCAATAAG